GTTCAGCAGAAGACGGTCCTCGAGTGATTTTTATGGTTGATCTGTGGCACCCCAATGTGGCAGCAGCTGAACGTCAAGCACTTGATTCAATATTTGCTCCCGGACGCTGATTCAGTTCCACCACTCGCAACCAAACATCTATGCTCATGGGATTTTGCCTCAAAGAAAAGCTTCTCTAACAAAAATCCATTCTGTGTATAAGAACTATGTCTTATGTTCTCTATTTACCCATTGGCTTCTTCATAGGTTTCCATTGTAGAAATTATGTGACAAAGAAGTATTTGCATCAACCAACGTACAACTCTTTCATGAGAGAGCACTGAACTCTACTCAGCAGAGGAGAGCACTGATATGGTGGCTAGGAGTCCTAGCACCATATTAACTAAACAGCACAAACCAACATTTAGCTTCAAGGCTTATTGTAAACGAGGCAAAAAGCTGGGAGACACCTTTTAGACGCATATAGTAATATCAAAGCATTCAGGGAATGGCTGGGAATCCTTCACAATGCTCAGTTTTGTTCTCCCCTTATGAGATTTTAGCAAGAATTGTATTATTTCATATTGCAGCTAATACCATATTTTCCATTCTCTACTAGAATGCAGCACTACTATAGTATGTTTCATGTTACTACTGTATATTTATACAACTCTGAAATACAAGTTTAGGAAGTGACATAAAGCAATGTATTTGTTGACATGGACAAGACCACAGAGTCTACTTCATGTCAAAATTGATCAGCCATGTAGGATTACCTTCTTGCTCACTCAGACATGCCGAGGTATTACACCCTCATTAATCATGTAGGGGAGGTCTCCCTCCACTCAGCCATGGCTAGACGAAAAAAAAAAAATATATTTTTTAAAAAGAAAATACTGCATTCTGTGATAGTTGTATACAACACAGATCCTTTTGAATGCAGGCTATAACGCTGAAATCATCAAATTTAAATAAAAAACTGGACTTTCTTCACTGGTCCAAATTTCTAGAGACTTTTTTGAAATTGACATATAGAAATAATTAAAATGTCTTTAGATTTCTCTTAAAATGTACAAGAGCTCACTTGTGTAGCTGTGGGCATTGGAAGGGCTTGGTCAAAGTTATTTTTAAGGAATTTCAGAGATCTTCTATCTTTATCTGACCAAAGTGTTTTTTGTTTTTCAGTTTGATAAAAAGGAACATTTCCAGTACGTCTGTCTAGTGTTCCAGCTCCAGAATTGAGGATCTGTTTATGGTGGTTGTAAAGCAGCCATATTGTCTTTAATGTGGAAACAAAAACAGTTTTTTGTTGTCTTGTACTTCGCAGTGCAACAGACTTCATTTTGTTCCGTAATAAAAAACAAAATGTGTCTAAGAGATAAGTCTATTCTTTGCTACTTTAAAAAATGGATGCTAGATCATTATATAAAATTGTTATATTTGAAAACAATGTCTTAAAACTGGTCATTGTGAAATAAGGTAGGTAACTTGTAATATGCACCTTGGATGTGAACATTTGCCTTGGAACAACTAAGGTAATTTTTTATGAATCCTGGAAGACTATATATATATATATATAATTTTATTTTTTATTTATAGGGGCACCTGCCAAAAGTGTGTGTGTGTGTGTGTGTGTGTGTGTGTGTGTGTTTTTTAACCTGACAATGCATGAGTATACCTTACACCTAGCCTTCTTACTGCATTGAATATTATGTCAGTAAGTAAGCTCTGGTTCTGAAAACACCTACTACTTAATCTATGGTTTTATACATTTTACATTTTCTATGCATTTAATTTAGACAGAAATTGGTAAACTCCACCCTCTTTGCGGTCTATGGAAGCATTGCATGCAAAGGGTGTCCTGTATGAAGGATGTATGCCCTACAATAAATCGTAAGGGTCTGTGAAACTGTGAAAGATTTATTCAGCCTGGAAATGTAAAAAGGCAAACTCCAAATTTGCTACATTAGTGTGCTTGTGCGCACGTATAGGCCTAGAAGTTGTAGTAGTAAAATGAAGGTACCTGTTGGGTAAAATCCCCTGACACAACTGCTGTTTAATCTGTGACCCCATCAGTCAACGCTAGTGCCACACAAATTTATTGTGCTCACATAAAGTGGTCGTAAACCCTTACATCTACACTGGCCTCATGTGATACAAAAAGATTAACCACTTGCCCCCCCCCCTTCCTGACCAGGCCATTTTTACCCCAATACAGTGCTGTTACTTTTACACATGCACGGTCATGCAATGCTGTACATGAATGACATTTGTGTCCTTTTTTTTTTTTTTCCCCCACAAATAGAGCTTTCTTACAGTGGTATTTGATCGCCTGTGTTTTTTGTTTTTTTTGTTTGTTTTGTGCTATAAATAAAAGAGACCAACAATTTTGACACGAAAAAACAATATTTTGGACTTTTTTGCTCTTAACCATGTCCAGTAAAAAAAAAATTTAAAAATCAAATTTCATCATAAACCTAGGCCAAAATGTGTTCTGCTACGTTTTTTCTAAAAAAACAAAATCCCAATAGGTGTAAATTAATTGGTTTGTGTGAAAGTTATAGCATTTACATATGGCGGTGTGTATATACTAGAATTTTTTTTTTTTTTTTTTTTTACTAGTAATGGCAGCAGTCAGTGACTTAAAGCGGGACTGCGGCAGACATTCTGACACTGGGTGGAACTGACTTGGTGTCGCTGACATCCCCACTGACACCAATACAGTGATCAGCGCCAATAAAAAGCACTGACACTGTACTAATGGCACTGGACATGAAGGGGTTAACATCTGGGGCGATCAAAGGGTTAACTGTGTGCTGTTTCACTATAGGGGCTGTGTGGGCTTCACTGTAAACACACTGCTTTGTATGGCTCTGCTAAGGACTCATAGGTCTATTTCCCAAAGACAACCTCTGGATATGATGCTGAGCACGTGCACTCAACTTCTTTGGTCGACCATGGCGAGGCCTGTTCTGAGTGGAACCTGCCCTGTTAAAACCGCTGTATGCTCTTGGCCACCGTGCTGCAGCTCAGGGTCTTTGCAATCTTCTTATAGCCTAGGCCATCTTTATGTAGAGCAACAATTCTTTTTTTCAGATCCTCAGAGAGTTCTTTGTCATGAGGTGCCATGTTGAACTTTCAGTGACCAGTATGAGAGAGTGAGAGCGATTAACACCAAATTTGCTCCCCATTCACACCTGAGACCTTGTAACACTAATGATTCACATGACACCGGGGAGGGAAAATGGCTAATGGGCCCAATTTGGAAATGTTCACTTAGGGGTGTACTCACTTTTGTTGCCAGCGGTTTAGACATTAATGGCTGTTTGTTGAGTTATTTTGAGGGGACAGTAAATTTACACTGTTATACAAGCTGTACACTCACTACGTCACATTGTAGCAAAGTGTCATTTCTTCAGTGTTGTCACATGAAAAGATAGAATCAAACATTTACAAAAATGTGAGGGTGTGTACTCACTTCTGGGAGATACTGTATATACGTGATTTTGCGCACATGTGCTGCCCTGTAGCAGTATTTCTGCTATAGGTCAGAACTGGTTAAACAATTCCTCCTACATAAATTGTACCTGTTTTATCTATCTGCAGTATTCTCTTCCCTACATATATTTAAACTCCAGAACTTATACAGCTTGTCTGAGCGTTCAGAAAAAAGGAACGGGGGATCTGAAATTACACTCACTCAGTGAGGAGAGCTGATTGGAGGGACAGGATACACTCCTTCCACACAGCTCAATGGAACAGAGCTGAGGCTGTCAATCTACTAAAGGTCCCTGCGCTGTCAATTTTTCCTGACACCAAGAGAAAAATGATCAGAAGTAATTCATGCAGAGAGAGGAGGAACGAAGCAGCAGACAGAAATGACACTTAGTGCCCTTAATTGAGACAAGTACACACTATAGAGGGAAATGCTTTGTTCATAATTCATATCTGAGGTTTACAACCAGTTGAAATCACTTTCTGAGATTGCCATCCATTCATTAAGGTAATGGTGGTCCACTGAATTCTTGAGCAACCTGCAGTTTAATGTCAATTTTCTGTCGCGAATGGCACCCTCTGACCGGACAGATTAACACTTTGTAATTTTCTTTTAAACAAAATGTGGATCTGAGTAGATCCAGTGATAGCAGCCAATCTCCCAATTGTCTTAAATATTGTGTTCTGATTTTCCTAATATAGAAAAGTCTGTGAACGCTTTTTGAAGAATCATTTTGTTGTAATTAATGGTCTGGTAACGTGCTGCTACATTTGGCTGAAGGCCAGTTTACATGTTAACCACTAGGCATGATATATGCCAAATGTCACATTATTGACTTGTGTAACAGTCAATTACAATACTGTGCTAAAGGCCTGAAAACATCGTTACTGTGGGCAGATGTGCTGTGAAGATCCCTGAACTGTGGATTTTAATTCAAGATCTGGATTAATAATCCATAGACTAGGAATTACCTGTGTGATGTCAATAAATTCATATTGAATTCATTTTTTATGGATCTGCCAAACATAAAAATGTGTATTTGTATTACCTCCATAGGCCTTATATCTCTTAGTAGAAATATGGGCAGCACAGTGGCTAAATGGTTAGCACTTACGCCTGGCAGTACTATGGTCGTTGGTTCGAATCCCAGCCACGGCACCACCTGCCTGGAGTTTGCTTGTTCTCCCTGTGCCTGTGTGGGTTTTCTCTGGGTACTCTGGTTTCCTCCCACACTCCAAAGACATGCTGGTAGGTTAATTGGCTCCTGTCTAAATTGTCCCTAGTATGTGTATGAATGTAAGTTAGGGACCCTAGATTGTACACCCCTTGAGGGTTCGGGACTGATGTGAATATACAATATTTATATATATATATATACATGTGTGTGTACATGTGTGTACAGCGCTGCGAAAGTGAATGGCGCTATATAAGTACCTGAAATAAATACACAGTATACAGTACAGTATACTGTAGTAGTACAAAATTTGTAGCACAAGCTGTGCTGTAGATAGTGAAGCTACCCTAATACAGCTACTACTTGAGTAGTATCACTGAATCATTAAGATATTTCACTATTCTCCTATTTGTAATATAACACTACCCACCAAATCTGTCTAAAACAAGTCATGCACTGCA